AGAGCTTTGAATTCTGAAGGAGTGGAATTGCAATGGTCAATTATAGATGGTGTTTATGTTTTTAGTCCCATGGACACTCAAAGATACAACGCAGAGAACAATAGAAGAATTTCAAGATCAATTGTCGATGGTGTTTATATCTTTGATTCAATGGAATTTGGTTTTGGCTACAACATGCAAAACAACGGGAGAAATTCAAGAATTCAACCTGCATCTCAAGAATCAATTGAAAATCTTGAAAGGGTCACAATTCAAGAGGCAGTAGATCAATCTTATTCTGATTGTTCTATTTGTCTTGAGGTGCTTTCAGTTGGGTCTGAAGCAATTCGTATGCCCCATCCTTGCTCTCATGTCTTTCATCAACATTGCATCATGAGGTGGCTTAACATGAATAACACATGTCCACTGTGTCGTAGGGTTATCTAGCTAGAAAAATTTTCTTATGTATTTTGTGTATTTCTACTCTATACTAATTTGATATTTGTTCATTATGTAGATATACATAGATTAATATTTTGTTTTATTTGTTAATGCAATTTGTATTATGGCAAAATTTATATGAATCGAGACATGAGTTTTATTTTTATTTTTTTATTTTTACTCGTGTTATCTCAATAATAAATAACACTCTTGTTATTTTATTGTCTTAAATTTGATAATACTTTTTGGGTAATACTCTTGTTATCTTCTAATTACTTATCCATACAAAAGCTACTTTAATATGTTTAAATAATTATTTAATTTGTATTTAAGCTCGGATTTGTGCTGTAACTCCGAAACAGAGAAAGGAGGAGGCTGAGATGAGAAAAGAGACCTCATGGGTGAAACCTGTACGGCATAAGCCATAGTTCTCAACAATAAATGAGTCAGTTTGGATGAAAATGTTAAAAATTAAGGAAGTGTGTATTTAGTCGGAGGTGTGTAACGTTAAAACTTAGCCCCCCAACTCAATAAACCTAATAACTCATTACATTATTTTTCTTATAAATTTGCACTATTTTGAGATAAACAATATGAAAATATTCATACATTTAACTTTTGATGAATAATAAAGTAATTTATATATTATTATTTTTAATTATTATATAAATTTTAGAATATATATTTTTAAATTTAAAAATAATAAAATGTAAGAAAGTATCTATTTTTTAAAATAAAATATAAAACAATTCACATTCATAAATACTAAATATTATAGCTAAATTGGTATTTTTACAACTTTATAACATGTAAATGAAAAATTAATTTATTCATCACTATTATAAATTTCTGTATGAAATAAAGTAAATTAAAAAAAAAAGCACATGAGACTTTTTAATTAAAGCTATCTATTTGAAATTAAATTTTGATTTCAAAATAAAAATTGCTTATTTTGTTATTCTATAAAAGTATATAAAAAATTCACGTATTTGATTTTATAATATGTGAATAGTAAAGTAATTTATACTTCACTATTATATAAGTTGTGTAAATAAAAATTAAGGTAAATTAATTCAAAATAATAATATAAGAAAATTTGAAATTGAGGTTATTTAGTTGAAATTTAACTTTAAAATAAAACTTATATTTATTATGGGGCATAATTTTTTTACATCTGTTAAGTTTAAAAATTTTTATATCCAATTTGAGGCTTTTATTTAATTTAAATCTAACGAGTTATAATTTATTACTTCACTAGCCGTTAGATTTAAATTAAATGAAAGATTCAGATTAAGTTTAAATTTTTTTTGACTTACACTAGTGTAAGAAGATCTTCTCCCTTTATTATACCATAAAAGTATACAAAAAAAATTCATAGGACTACTTTTATATTCTGCGAATAATATAATAATTTATATATTATCATCATAAGTTATAATACACTTATTCTTTTTGGTTTAGACGATCATTTATTTGATATAATAAAAAAAATTAGTTAAGAGTAAATGCTCGAAAATTTTCAATTATTTACTTTGATTTTATTTCTGAAAGAGCAAGTATCGATAATGTCTTTTAATTTTTCTTAAAGAAAACATCTGTATTTGCAATTATAATAAATGAATGATAGACATTGTCTCCACAAATTATAAAGTATATATTTTACTTTGATTTTTATATCTCAGTGTTTTAAGGATTGTTTTTGCCTAAGAATATATCAATTTCATTTTCATATTTATTTTCACTATCAAGCCTTCAAGAAAAAATTCATGCTCATTTCAACCTATCATGCTTCTAATATAGCCCAAAAATGTGAATTAAAAAATGATTCTGATGCAACCACCATGGAATTAATGTCCTGCACTTGCCTTCTTACTTAAGAAGAATTAGACTACTCCATTACATTCCCAATCTCAAAAGAAATTAAAAGCAAGAAAACGAATGCATGATTAAAACTTAATTGATTTTCATTCTAGAAATATTATCACTAATTTGCGTCTTTATTCATGTAATTAATTTTCTATATTTGGGTTAGCTTTTTGCATAATTGTTGGATCAAAGCAAGTCAAAATTATAGCATACTAATAGCCATTTTTCCAAAAAGAACATATTAACTTAGTTTCCATACCCATTTACATCATTTAACATCCAAGATTAGGCCTTAACATTGATCATTTGGCTACAGAGCCAAAAGTTTAAAACATATTCATATGTGATATGTCAGTGTTTTGAGGACTATTTTTGGTCAAAGCTAATCAGTTTCATTTGTATCTAAATTGAAGTCACGAATATAATAATTTTCTGAAGAAATATGAACTTTCTGCCACACTTACACAAACCCAATCATATCTTATTTAACCAATTGCATGTTGTGGTATTTAATCAATACAATGTTAATAGATTGTCTTATATTTCAAGATCTAACGCAAGAATATGACATTCATTGATAGACTAACCTCAATCTTAGAGAAAAGAAAAGGAAACTCAGCAGAAGAACATGTAAACTAAAATGAAATTTCCTATTTTCTTGAACGAATTTCTCTAGGTTTATCTGAGTTTTAAGCATTGAATCATTATTAACGTCTTTTTGCAAACCAATTAACACGTATTCTTGCAATCAAGCATGCATCAAATCATTAAAATGCAGCAAGCACCTCATGCAAATACAGAGAAAATTCAGAAGAGATGCTCCATGAGCTTAAAAACTAAGGGTTGGCAAGGATTTTACTTGGAATCCGTCTCCAATCTTGCAAAGGTCAAGTTGCAATTCCACTTCAATAGAGAGGTCCCTTGCTTTCAGGTGTTTCAATGGAAGAAAACCCCAAAAGCTATGGAGAGAGATTTTTTCTTAAGGTGTTTGTATTTTTTTTAGAGAACGAAGGAATCAATATAAAAGAAAAAGAAGTCGTGATAGTGGTTCTGTGAGTGAAAAAAAAGTAATAGCAATCAATTAAAAAAGAGTGTGAATTTGTTAGGATGTGTTGACGTAAAAAAGGTGAGAGGGGAATAAGAAAAATACAATAATAATAATAATAATAAATGCGTGTGGTTGTTGGTTGGTTAATTTGTTAAAACATTTTTGAATAAAATGAATTTGTTATAAAAAGTAAAAAAATGTTATTTTTATTTATTAAATATTTATTTATTATATTTAATAGTTTATTATTAAAAGAATATTTTTATTGTTTTTAGGAGTATTTTATTTTAGTCTAAAAAACTACTATTTATTTTAATTATAATTATTTTATATTTATATCATTATCTTTCATTCTAAATAAATTTTTAAAATCAATTTTATTCAGACATATATATTAAACAATTTTTTTTGTATTTAAATTGATTTACTTGGAAGTAGTTGAGGAAGAAGGTTTACTTTGACATAGTTAAAATTAATGTGTTATTTCACATATAACAATATTAAATGGGTAATCTTGGTATTCAACTTAATAAAATAAAGTTTTTATACCATTTTTAATGTTCTTGATTTGATATTATTTTTAATTTATGAAAATATTGTGCATATTGATGTTGTTATCATAATATTAAATACTATTATCATGCTTATCGTACTTGTTTGTTTACTAATTAAGTGGATATGAAGAGCTATTCTATTATGCTTTTGTCATAATGTTATTTAGAGAGCATGACTCTCCTTTCTCCCTCCTCTTCTTATATGCCAAAATGATTTATTCGTTTAGTAGATGGCGACTTTCACAATAAAATATTTATCAGACTAATAGGTAAAAATTATGTTTTTTTTAGTATTTTTCACTTTGGTGAAAATCTGATTTCCTTTTTGTTTTTTATAAAGTTTTAGTCTAATATTTTTTTTATTATGATTTGTTTAAATGGTATTTATGACATTTTGATTTTGTGTGCAAATTGATATATATATATATATATATATATATATATATATATATATATGTATGTATGTATGTATATAATTTTTTTTTTCATTTGGGTGATATGAATACTTTTTTTAAAGTAAATGCTTGATGTGCTTCTTTAAGGATCATGTTCAGGAAAATTATGTACGAAGTTGAAATAGTTTTTAGACAGTAACTTAACCTTTATTAAAGATCACTGTATATTAACAAACTGATACAAATGATGATCACCATAGTAACTTATTGATGATGTTAACAGAGTTACTTGTTAAGTTTAATTTAAAAGAACTTTATTATTAATACTGATTGATGCATTAATTTACTTACAGAAGATCTATTACCTAAAATAAATTTACAATAACAACAAAGGTTGAAATAAATTGACATCGAAAGTTTTTCTCCTACCAGTCTTGATTTCTTTAAATATTTTTTTATTATCGATATATAATTCATAAATTTTCGCGCTTTCTATTGATACAAGCAAATGATCTTTTGTATTGCGAACGATCCAAGTTTTACATAAAGATTTGTTGGTATCCATGTGTGGGTCCAATGGTATTCATTGAAAAAATGTACACACAAAATGACTAGGCTAAGGCTTATTAAAACACGACTGTATGAATAATTGAAAATATACATAAAGACAAATAAGCCGATCTGACTTTGAACAAGTTCTATAAAGTTCGATAATTTCTTTGTGAATCTCAAAAGCATCATATCCTCTGAAGCTGAAGGTCTTGCTGAAAATGGCAGAAGATTTGATTTTGTTGGATGACTGGCTCAGTATGTTTGGCATGAGAGCAAGGATAGCACTGGCTGAAAAAGAGATCAAGTATGAGTACAGGGAAGAGGATCTAACGAACAAAAGTCAATTGCTTTTGGAAATGAACCCAATTCACAAGAAGATCCCAGTTCTCATCCATAATGGAAAACCCATTTGTGAGTCCATCATAATTGTTGAGTATATTGATGAGGTTTGGAAGGAGAAAGCTCCTTTGCTACCCTCAGACCCTTATGAGAGGGCTCAAGCTAGGTTCTGGGCTGATTTTGTCAACAAGAAGGTAGGTGCCATGTTTTGGTGCTAAATTCAATGATTTCAACATTTAATTGCTCTATACTTGATATCTCTTCATTCAAAGTTTTGTCCTTCCCTTAAATTGTTTTACTCCTCAATGGATTAATATTTATTAATGAATTGAACAAGAAGATGGGTAATTACTTTCTAGGAAAAAGCTTAACACCATCCCATTAAATAACCTCAATTAAGCATGTACAGCAGAATCATAAGCAAAATCCATTTGCCTATGTTTAAATTGAGAGCTTAGTAACAATAATATAAGGAACCTATATAAGTGTTTTCCGTCTTCAAGTAAAATTTAAACAGGAAGTTATTGTGTTCATATGCTTAATAGTCAATATCCATGGGTTTCATTATTATTATTGAAGGCATGTGGGTTAAAAAATGTGTTAAATTCATCTCATGTGTTAAAAAATGCAGGTTGGTGATGTTGGGGGAAGGATATGGGGTGGAAAGAGAGATGGAATTGAAGAGGCAAAGAAGGAGTTAGTGGAGGGGTTGAAAGAATTGGAGAAGGTTCTTGGAGACAAGCCTTATTTTGGGGGTGACACATTTGGGTTTGTTGACATTGCTCTAATCCCTTTTCATAGCTGGTTTTATACTTATGAAGCACTTGGCAACTTCAAAGTGGAGGCAGAGTGTCCTAAGCTAATTGCTTGGGCAAAGAGGTGCAACCAGAGGGAGAGTGTTTCCAAATCTGTTGCTGATGAGAAGGATGTCTATGACTTTGTTGTTAACTATAGAAAGAGCCTTAAGTTAGACTGAAAAGGCACTTTGTGTAATTTGAATCTTCCTTTGATGATGACTATGGGTTTGCATCTACAATAATTTCTGTTTGTGCTTGAAAATTAAACAGGAGCTTTCTTATGGCTTCAACATTTCTCAATTCTTATGCATAAAATGTCAGATCTAGTTCTGAAAATTTCTGGGCTTTGAATAATGTTTTTCACAAGGCCTAGTCTCTAGCAAAACTTACACTTCTATACCTATTTCTTACATGCATATACCAGATAAATTTAAAATCTTTATACATGCTCAACAATTATTAACTCTGGATATAGATCACATTAACAGGTGCAATGCAATGGGTTTCAGATTCAGTAACTACCAAATGAAGTTCCTTGGAATAAAAATTTTTATAATCCAGCTACCCATGTGACTCAAGGTGTTGGGACAGAAGCTTAGGTATCTCTAGACTAAAATATTGGAATTGACTTTCTGAATTCATGTAACATCAAAACAATTTCAACTGCCACACACTTTGCATCGAGCTCCTAAATGGTCTTCAAAGCCCAAGTGCTTAACATTTTTAGAATTAAATACTATTTAAGTCTTCGTACAAATTTTGTATTTTTATTTGATTTTTTAAATATCAATAAATTATTAAATAATTTTTTTTACATTAACCTTGTTATAAAACTGTTATTTCAGATTTAAATATATTTTTTTAATTTTAATTTCTATACACAACACATTACTCTTATTGTGTTCTTTATACATAACTTTTTTATTTATTTTAGTTCTTATCTAAAAATTGAAATTATAAGGATCAAAATAAAAAACAAAGTTGTTATATATAAAAATCAAAATAAAGCTCACCATCAATGCAAGTTAAAATTTTTGGTAATGATTCATGACATATTACAAATAATGATTTATTAGTTTTAAACAATGTCATAGTAATTTAATATAGTTATAGAAATTATTATGAGAAATAATATTTGAGAATTTATGTAATTTTTTTTTATTCATTATAAATATAATATTATAGTGTGAGAATGTGAATTGAATTTCAAGTGTTATTTTTTCACTTAAAAGATTAGTGTTAAATTTGCTTGAACTTCTAAATGCAATTACGTTAGTTTATCTATTTTATAAATAAAACTTAAATACAACCCTCGGATGTATTACCTTAATAACAAATTAACAAACTTGTTTTGATAATATCTTAAAATAATCTTTTTAAAGTACCAATGATATAACATAAAAATAATTTTTTACCTAATTCTCAAATACAACTTCTTATAGAATTTTTTATAACTACATTTATATGCAATTACATTGTTCAGTTATTAAATCATCTTTTGTAACTTGTTTTGATAATGAATTTGAATTTGATTTTTATTATCATTTTTATATGTAACATATTCTTCTTTTTAAACCCAAATAGTTTATATATATATATATATATATATAAATATAAGGTAAAATGAACATCGTTTTATATATAAGGAATGTAATAAAGAAAATATATTATATATAGGAATCATAATAAAAAACTAAATATGAAATAATGACGTTATATGAAAATTAACAGACTGTAAAATATTTTTTATTTAAGAATTGGTTTACAATTTCGTTGTTTTTTATTTAAAGATCAAATAAAATATATGAATTTTGTACAAGGGACTAAAATAACGTTTAAACCAAATTTTTATTTAGAATTTGCAGATTTGATGAGATAGAATAATGAGAATGAACTTCTGTATTATAACTGACAGTAATGGGATAGAATAATAAAAATTAATTTTTATATTATAAATAAGAGTATATTATCTAGTAGAGCTATCAGGTCAGTTTCATCCCAACATTACCTAGTCTAACGGTAACTCACTGTGTAGCATTTATACCCATCTTCATCTGTATTAGATCTTTGAATTAAACAAATGACGAGTCTATGTGGTCTGAAATGGGTTAGGCTAAAGTTTTTTTTTTTTTTTTTTTTTTTTTTTTTTTTTTGCTTAAAAAAATTGAACTATTTCTAGAGGTGAGAAGAAAGACACCATAGCAACACATAATAATTACCATCCAACAAAGGTTGAGAAATGGAGTTAATCACTCAAAATTGTGCAAAGAAAGAACAACTGATAACAAAAAAATTGAAGGAGAGACAATGAGAGAGTTGGAGACAATAAAAATAGGTAACAATAAGACTAAGACAGTGAAAATAAACAAGGGCAAAAGAGATTGAAGAAGATAGGGAGAGAGTGAAGGGATTTGGCAAGGCTATTGCTGCATAAACATGTAGGTGAAGATGTCAGCAATGATATTCATCACATTATACGTGAAATATTAAAAAATTGTTACATTTAATTGATTTGGTTACGTTAGTTTCCTTAGGTTTTATATTTTAATTAAATGTGAGTATATTAGTTCACACAACAGGCAAATGCATATACTTCTTCGATCGAGTCACATTGTTGCATGCTTCATTTAACACAGTTTCGATCGATTGATAAAATTATGCTCATTCTAGGGAGTGAAGCATTCAATAAAAGTTTGATACTTTTTAAAACTAAAATTCATTAAGAATAATTTATGAATTACACTCTTCCTAACTATAATAGTTTTACCTTTTACACGTCAGTTTGTTAATTTCATTTTAAATTTTAGAAATATTTTTTTTTAAAATACTTATGTTTATATTTCAAAAATTTTTCTTATTACCTTATAGATACTTTCAAACTTACCATAAATACCAATGTTTATATTTATAGGTATTTATAATACTTAATCTATTATTTACGGTACTGTCAATCAAAATTCAATAATTACTCATGTTTAATTTTAAACAAAAAATATATTTTATCAACTAGAAATCATAAAGTCTATTACTTTCATTCATTCATTTTTTTAAATTTGTATTGTTCTCAAATATTTTCTTTTAGAATATTTTTAAAAAAAATAAACTTACATTCATGTTTATTGTATTTAAGTATATGTTTTTAATTTTTAATTTTTATTTTTTAATTTAGAATTTACTATAAAGAGTCTTATCTGTTAAATTTATGATTATTAATTATATATTAATTTATTACATTTATTTAAAAATATTTTTGAAACTGTATTATAAAATATTATTTTAAAATAAATTATATTTTAAAATTATTATAATTTTATTAAATCCTTATTATTTTAGTATACACCATTCATAATTATATAATTATTTTTAAAAAAAATTATAGTTTATATATATATATATATATATATATATATGAAGTATATTCTCATACTAATATAAGTTTAAAAATTCTTACATTTTATACAAATTTTTTATTTAATTTATATTTAACTATTAATGAAAATAATAAATTATAATTCGTTAGATATAAATTAAATAAAAAAATTAAATTAAGTGTAAAAGTTTTTAGATTTATATTGGTGTGTATATACATGTGTGTAAATTTGATTATCGAATAGGTATTTAACTGATTATTTGAATGGTTTTAATATCTTTCATGTAAATGTTAGAGTAATTAAGGGTGAAAAGTGAATAGCGACACGACTAGAGTAATTACACCGCCAACAACGAGATTTGAATGTACATGAGCAAATCTTAAAAATATATAATATAATATTTTAGTCAAACTTTCTATACACCGCAAATAATTTTACTTAATTTAGAGAAACCTTTGAAAATATGCGTAAGTAATGACATCATGAATTGAATAAGACAAAATGAAAATTGACATCTTTGAAAGCAATAATCGAAATTCCAATCTTGAGTTGTACCAACTGTACATAAATTTAGATTTGGGTTCATCTCACATGCAGGTTTCATATACGTCTCAAACTAAGTAACTTAATAATACAGTATAGTCTTTGAGTGACGTAACTAATGACATCAAATTAAATGATGAATGCAATGACATCGTTCGTTCAAAGCAACTTAGGTGCTATCAATTGCATATAAATTTAGACCTGGTTGAATCTATTCTTCACACTATCTAATTATTCTTCATAGTCTTGCTTTACTAGTTCAATCTTTCAGGTTATTAGGTGTCTTTGACAATGGCAGAAGAGGTAATTTTGTTGGATTTCCATTACAGTATGTTTGGGATGAGAGTTAGGATTGCATTGGCTGAGAAAGGAATCAAATATGAGTACAAGGAAGAGAACCTGAGGAACAAGAGTCCTCTGCTTCTTCAAAATAATCCCATTCACAAGAAAATACCAGTTCTAATCCATAATGGCCAACCCATTTGTGAGTCCCTCAATATTGTTCACTACATCGATGAGTTCTGGAATGATACAAATCCGTTGTTGCCCTTTGATCCATACCAGAGAGCTCAAGCCAGGTTCTGGGCTGATTTCATTGATAAAAAGGTTTATTTAATTTTTCCTTTTTCTTTTCACATCTCCATTACTATTTTATAGATAGCTCTTTCATAACCATTTCAGAACTATGGTTCTGAATTGTATATATTATGAGAATTGTTAGTAACAAACCTTCTCACTTGGTCTTTGCGAAGTATTTTTTATTTTGATGAAATTTACATAATTCTCACTAAATGGTGTACGTTTTATCTTCTATGGTCTCACATAAATTTCATTTTATAATAATAATTACAAGTTTTTCCTTATAAATCCTATTTCTTTCACTCGAATCATTTCTGTCTCCCTTCCATTTATATCGCATCATGGCTCATTATAACATTGTCATCATTTCTCACTCTATTTATATATAATTTTTTGTTTGGTCTCAATTTAGACACACACAAGGAATGACTTGATTAAGTCTTTAAGTGAAAATTGTTCTCAGTAGTTTATATATGTTACTTTATTTGGAAATAACGAGCGAAACAAGGGATAGAACGAATTGACATCAATGTCAACTCTAGGGAATCTATTTATGGCTAACACATGTTACATACGCAGGTGCATGAAGGTGGGAGGAAGATTTGGGCTTCAAAGGTAGATCAGCATGAAATTGGCAAGAAGGAATTGAAAGAGAGCTTGAAACAACTAGAGGAGGTTCTTGGAGACGAGCCATATTTTGGGGGTGACACATTTGGGTTTCTTGATGTTGCTTTAATCCCTTTCTATCACTGGTTTTATACTTATGAAACTGTGGGCAACTTCAAGTTGGGCTGTCCTAAACTTATTGCATGGGCCAAGAGATGTTTGCAGAGGGAAAGTGTCTCCAAATCCCTTGCTAGTGAAAATGACATCTATGAGTTTGTTTTGAGCTTTAGAAAAAGGCTCGAGTTGGACTAAGAGACACGTCACGAGTAAGGAAAGTCTGTTTCTACCGAAATGTTAGCAATAATTTGATGTGTTTTTAACACTCTCTTCTATTAAATAAATTAAGAATATGTATAAAAGTTCCTGATTTGTTGGTGACATAAAATCTTGCATACTTGTGTTGTGCGGGTGGAACTAGGTTATGTTCTGTCGGATAGGAACTTTCCATGTCAATGTTTTGTACTCATGTTTAATAAAACAGAATTTTGTTTTATTTTGAAGATTTTTATCCCTAATTAGCAGAAAGCCAAAATGCCATTTCATCTATTTATATATCTATTATTAATTATTACGATAGATAAAATATAAAGGATAAACCGTAAAGATGTAATCTCAACAACTTAAAATTTTACTTTGCTTTTGTTATTGTGCAGCATAAATTATAATTTACTATATTCAATTCTAGTTGATAGATTAATCAGGCTGATTAAAAAATTTATTATTTAGTGGATTTTATTAAATAATTATAAACTAATTTACTGATTAACAGATTTATGCCTGTTTATCTACTTTATTAAGTTTTAATAATCAGCCATCTCAAGATTTTTATTTATTTTTTAGAAAATAAAGAATATAAAAGGACTTTTTTCTTCCTAATAGATAAACCTAAGAGTTTTGAATAATTTAAAAATAATATATTTTTCACACGAGAAAAATAGAATTATAAAAATATTGATAAAAACATAATTAAAGACAATAAAACTACTATAATAACATATAATACTGATAGAACTATCCATAACCTCACCTATGGATAAAACTACTCCACATTCCGGTTTAAGGGGTGATTTTTTTTCCACACTGGCAAGACAAGCTGATTTTGTTTAAGTAATATTTAAAATAAAATAAATGGTAACAAAGAAATAATAAAATTAAAATAGAAAATTTATCAGCGGCAGAAGTACGTTGAGCCTTAGGCATATCTAATGATCTTATGGAATTGACATTTTTTGATCTCACTACACAGAACTGTGCTTTGCTTTCTCTGACGTGTTACCTTTCGGTTGCGAAAGACAGGCAAACCAGCACTTTGCGCATTGCCACTCTCCATCCGGAACAGACTTAAAACAACACACGAATGACAATATACCATAAGATCAATAAATTAAAGACGAACGATAAATTAATTTCTAAATAATTCAAAAGCATACCCTTAGAGCAAGACACTTTAGGTGATAAGTACGAGGACAAGTATCACAACAAAGCAACTCTCCACCATCAAGACAAATCTCACATTCATAGTAACTCTACAAAAAAAATTACAATATTTTAATGTCAGGATCATACGCGCCATCACAATATGTTGAATTGAGAAATATTATGAATCAAGTATATGGTGAATGATAACTACTATAATAGCATTAAGTTCAAGATTCAGCTTTGCCTTAAAAGTAAAATATAATTTATCATACAATGAATCCATAACTTCTGAAGTAGAATAGTGTTGCTTCCAGTGTCATACCACAGTTAAATTAAAAAGCACTTGTTCATACAAAGAAACTAGCATTCGAGATATGTCTTTCCAGCAAAACAATGGAGGGGTATAAATTAACGCGAGTTTTGTGATTCAATTGTGCGTTAGTTCATCTCAATGGCTTAAACAGTATACACTATAGAATTAATGGTGAATGATTTCACCCTCAAAACCAAATCTCAGAAATATAAATCGAAACCATAGGACAACTTGCTTGAACTAGAGTTTTCACGATATCTTCATTAATGAAGCTATTGATGTAAGCTTAAATTTTGGACTTGATAGAGCACACAACCTTGGAAATCTTGTAGTTGAAAATTTGATGGTAGAGGAGAGATATACTTGTCAACCTTTAGATTAATGCTGATGGAAAGTAAACAGGAAAGCTCATGAAGGTTTGGGTTAGTTTTGAAAAGATAGAATCAAACCATTATTTTGTGCAATAGAAAAGTGTTAATGGGCCATCAAGCTGTAAGAAACTCGGTCATCATAAATTCATAATGGCACAATTGGTTGATGGCAAAATTCTCAACCAATACCCTTACAGCAAGGACATGCATGCTCCTTTGCGAAAAATAACACCTCTTTCAAAAAGTGTTATCTATATTTCTTCGTTTCAATATATAGTGGAACAAAGATAGAGCTTGTAAGGACTGTAATAGGCCTTGTATCGTGTGTTAAGATAAACACAATTTTGGCTTTCTAAAGCTATGTGAAAATGTTGATTAAAACACACACCATGAAGGATGAAGCTTTGAATCAAGCTTAAAGGAAACAATTCGAAAAGAAATATATCAGCTCAACATACCCTTATCATGTACGCATCCTTAAAATAACAAGTAGTTCATCCGCAACAAAAGAGCAGCTTCAAAATTCTCTAAAATGTTTTCAAAGGAGTTTAAGATGAGCAAAGTTTGACCTAGCTTTTCGTGGGGCTTCTCTTCTTCTCAGAAGGGAAAATTAGAGAGAAAATCTAGAAATTAAAAGTAACTTTTCTGATGAAGATTAAAAAAAACTTTCATTCAAATTAATTGTCGTAGCTTTTACTCATTTTGAAAACACACTGGCTTCTACTCCTCCCACTAGTATCATCTCTAAACAATGATCTCTAAATCAAGCAACAAGTTCACAACAAGCAACTATTTGTGATTCTAGGGTTGCTTTGTTGGGCTGCGATAATTTAGAACAAGGAGTACTAGGCTTGAATTTGAGATGAATGACAATATGAAAGCAAAAGATAAATATTATTTATCGAATTACGAGTAGTTTAGCAATGGGAGCTAATACTCGTCTTCAATAGTACGTATTTTTGAAATGGCCATGGTTGGTCTTGAGCTACAGATGTGCATGAATTTCAATGGAGGCTTATATAAGGAAAAAAGTTTGAAAGTGAGAGAGAGGATTGTGGCTCTGATTGTGTACAATCTAGTTGAGTTCGAGAATTAATGACAGCAGCTTACGTTAAAATATTATCGATCAATTAATTTCATTTTTATATATTATTTTAAATTTGTAAATATCTAAAATTAAAATAATAAGCCATACGCTGCCCAAAAAAAAAGTATATGACACAGAATTAAGTTTAAAAAGGATGTTGGAAATATAAAGATAAGGTATTTTTTTTCTTAATGTATTATTTTAAATTTTAAAAAATTAAAATTAAAATAATAGTCGTATGCTGCCAAAAAAAATTCCAAAAAAAATAGATGTAAATATGTTTTTAATGTGTTTTTTTTTAATAGTCATTAATTTTTATAATTTTAATATATTAAAAAATTAAGTCTAACTTACTTAAGCTAGCTTATAGAAGGAAATTTGTTTAAATCTTATAAAATTTTTTTTAACATACAAACCGATAAATTCTAATACCATATTAAATTAAAAATTAGATTTAAGAAGAAGTTTGTTCAAAACTTACAAAAATTATTTTGATTCTATTCTTATCTTATGTAAGATAATTTTAATGTTATATTTAATAAAATAATATATCAATGAAAGTTGCTTTGAGTGGCAAGTGCCTTACGAAAGTAAGGTTTAATCTTAAAATTGCATGAATTTTGAAATAATATTATGATAATTAACACAAACCTATATTGACTGAAAAAAAAAGAGCATAACTGAATAAATTTTTTCACAACATAAAGAAATAAAGAAAAGTAAAACTTACCCCATCTTCTCCTATTTCTCGATCCACCTTGTCATCAATGTTATCAGAAGAGCATCCCAATGGTACATAAATGCTTTCAGGAAGGGAGGGAGATGTTTTTTGTTCAGAAGTTGCACCTTTTCTTCTTCTTCTGCTGTATACTAAAGTTTCTGTGTTCTTTTCTTCGATGTCCTTAGAAGAACTCATCTTCAAATGTTCTTCAACTGAAACCAAACTTGGAAAAGATAAAGAAGAAGAAGGGGTTTGTTAATGCATATTTAAGAAACATAATTGATTAAATGAATGAGTAATCAATTACATGGTAATTAAAAAATTTATTGTATTAAGTTATTGTATACACAAATTTAAGTTTAGTCAATAATATTCAAACTTACATAAACTAAATATTTAGTTTTAAATTAAATAATTCAATAAAATTAAATTAAATACATTTTATAATATTTCTAAACTATAAAATAAGTGTATAGGCATGGAATAAATACAATAAAAGCATTTAAAATATATATATTTATATGAAGTATTAATCACATATTCCAAATGGTGCAGTGTTGAGTCTTGTATTCCCAAAGCAATAAATAAATGATTCAATTCTTAAGTCAAGTAAAAAATTATTTAAATAAACAAAATAAGTATTTTAGAAAATATTAGCACAAATATATCACATCTTAATTAAATAAGATAATAGGCTCAAAAGCTGTCACCAGTTAAATATGACAAAAAGGTTTCATACTTAAAAATTGAAATTATTATTTTATTTTAAAAAAAGAAAAAGGTATAAAACATGAGAAATGAATGATCATTATTATCACATTTATTAGAGACAGTCAATTTTTCAATATTAAAAATATTTTAATGATGCTCTAAATTTATTAATTTAATAGTGACTTGAGTTACAGTAACCAGCAACAGCCGTGATGATTAAAAATATTGTCATAAAGTTATTATATTATCCTTTACAACAAATATAATTTCTTGCAGTGATTATTTCCTTTAAATCTTTGAATCGATTAATGCAAATAATCTAGCAACTATATAATCCTATAAGATTTACATTCATGCTTTTAAACATACACAAATATTTAAGTACATCATTTATGGGAAATTATTTAATTTGTTAAACAATAAAAAGAAAGGAGAAATATATTTAAGTACATGCTTTTAGGCTTATTTTTTTTTAAAAGGGAGAAGTCAAGTCAAATATAATTCATAAAAAATAAATAAAACTAATCCTTTATTTTTTTTTAATGAAAGTCTAAAACGTAGAGAATGAACAAAAATTGAAGGAATTTTTATTTTAAAAAACATAAAATTAGGATAATTAAACACTCTCTCATGAGAATGAAGGGTAAAAGATGTTTCCCCCCTAAAACTTGCCCTCAGCTGGATGCTCAGCCCGAGCTTCAGTGGATTTACATTTTATATATCTCCGCAAATTAAATCCAAAAATACAACAAAATCTTGATATATTCTCATAAAAATAATTATCTATGCAAATCAAGCTCTTGAAAATCACTGTTAATTCATTGTTAACACATTAGTAAGAAACCAAATCTATATATCAAACGATAAACTAAAA